ACTTATTTGCAGCATCGGCGGGGAGGATTGTCAGGAAAGTCAAATATCTCTGCTGATGGTGAAATAGGCTCAAGCTCTGGTAGAAATAAGAGACGAGATTGGCCACTCCCTGACAGTTAACTAGCTTGCTCATTCTAGCTTGGGACTTCAAGGACTACAGTGGTACCTTGGTTCTCAAATGCCTTGGTACTCAAACAACTTGGAACCCAAACACTGCAAACCCAGAAGTGTTCCAGTTTGTGAACTTTTTTCAGAAGCCACACATGGTCTGTTTGGAGTGTTATGCTTCCAATTTGAGTGCCACACTTGCGTTTTGAGTGTTACGCTGAGGTCTGTCTGTTTTTGCTATTCATTTTGCATTTTTGCGGCTCTTTGTTTTTGTTTTTGTGACTGCGTGGAACCCAGTTCAGCTACCGTTTGATGGATTGTGTGACTGCAGTACATTTTCTATTGCTTTTGTTTTATGGATCAATGGTCTTGATAGATAGTAAAATTCATGTTAAATTGCTGTTTTAGGGTTGTTTTAAAAAGTCTGGAACGGATTAATCCATTTTGCATTACTTTCTATGGGAAAGCACGCCTTAGTTTTAGAACGCTTTGGTTTTGGAACGGATTTCCCGAACGGATTATGTTTGAGAACCAAGGTAGCAAACATGCAAATCAAACCTAGAATGCATCTGGTCCCAGGGCATGGTCTGGATGCAAATGAAGCCACTTAGCTGAAGGTCCATGCCTAGCCAGTGGCTGGATGGGAGAGTGCCTTGGGAATCCTATGCATGACATCTTGGGATCCATCATGGAAGAAAGGCTGGCTATATGGATATGACTGGAATAAGCTACAGGGAAGAATAAGGCAGAAGCCTGGAAAAGGCGGAAATAAGGTGCAGCCAGCCTGTTCCTGACTAATCCTGCACTTAGATGAAACCATCTATGAAGACAAGTGAAGGCTAGTAGGGGAAAGGAATGGAAGTCTCATTCTCCCTCTTGCCCTCCTACTTGTGTCCTACGTATAAGGGCCTGGCAGAAATGATCAGGGAGGAGGCAGAGGAAGTATGGTGGGAAGGGGTTGAAAGAAGGGATTCAGCCTTTTGCAATACATGGATTGCAATAATACATGGATAATGAGATAATTCTACGCCTTTTCCTGCGATGAAAATACTTAACAAATTGTAAATTCTGTATAAGCAGATTTCCCCACATTTACTGCAGTGCTTCAAAGGGTCTGAAGTAAAGGAAACTAAACTCTGTGGTCCGAGGAAATAATGCAGATTAAGAAAAATGGTGCCCATACAGTCATACCTCGGGCTGAAGTAGCTTTGGGTTGAGCATTTTCGGGTTGTGCTCAGCGGCGACCCGGAAGTAACGGAACGCATTACTTCCGGGTTTCGCCGCTCGCGCATGTGCAGATGCTCAAAATGACGTCACACGAATGCGCGGAAGCGGCGAATCGCAACCCGTGCATGCGCAGACACGAGTTGTGTTTGCTTCAGGATGCGAACAGGGCTCTGGAACGGATCCTGTTCGCATCCAAAGGTACCACTGTATTAGGCATTCTGCTTCCAAGATTTACATCAGAAACAGTCAACAAGGACTCCCACCCCCCACCCCGATATTTCTGGAGTCCCATCAGCATGGCCAATGGTGAGAGATGTTTGGCGCTGGAGTCCAGTAACATCTGCAGAGCAGCACATTGATAATCTCAACCATGGATAGCCAAATAAGCTCAGAATTTTCAGTAATGGCAGACAGAATGCAGGTGAGCGGAAACGGCCCTATCCCAGATAAAAACAAACATTAAGGAGAGGCACGGTGGATCACACCAAAGGTTCATCTAGCCAGCATCCTGTTTGTAACTACAGGCAGCCAGCTGCTTCCTGGAAGCTGTGCACAAAGGCAACGGCAAACCCCCACACTGGCTAACAGCTGCAATTCAGAGGTACACCGGTAAGTTCTAGTGTTATGGGAGAGAGGGAGAAATAATACGTCTCTTGCTTTTCTCTATACCAGGTATCCTACAAACCCTCCTTCAAGTGTGGGTCCTTCCATAGCAAAATGGCACCATCCACACACAGAAGGGGGGGTTAGCAGGTTAGGGGAAACCCCAAGGTTATACAACTACAAAGAATTTAGAGCAGCAGACTTGGGGTCACCTAAAAGGAAGTGATTGAGTCCAGCGAGATCTGAGCATCCTCAGTGGCCATGGAATGCTGACTGGATTGTGGGGGTAGGAAACAGGAACCTAATGGGTGGGAAGAGGGGGAATGGAAGGGAAGGGAAGGGAATGGAGTATCTTGGAAGAGACCATCCTGGAATGGAGTAGATTGTGGTGGGCTTGCAATCTGACAAGGAGCACTCTGCATTGGCACTCCCCCCTCAAATCCCACTTATAACTTTATAAACCTTTATTATATCCTCCACAATCCTATCTATTTTCTAAAGTAAAATCCCCAAACTCTTTGATCCTATGGAAGGTATTACTTCCTGATCCCCCCCCCCTTTGCTGTTTCCTGCACCCTTTCTTGGTCTACAGTATTTTTTTATTGCAATGGGAGGCAAGAACTGTATACAGTATTCCATATACAGGCACAGCACAGATTTATATAAAGGCATCACAATACTGGGAAACATCTATTTTCATTCCTTTTCCCATATAAAGAGCCTAGGGCCTGGGGCTCAGTGGCCAATAGGGCAGAGAGGACACGATCATCAGCACCTTTAGACACAAGTAAGGAGTGTAGAGGTTGCATTCTGTGACCACCAGCAGACCGGCAGCCCAGACTCCAAGGTCCAACTATGGAAATTTACAAGTCCTGGCTGCCCATTGCCCTCATCTGAAGGTAGGGTGGGCAGAGAAAAGGAAAGGAAAGGAGCCTGTTCTGCTCTGAATAACGTTGTTTGTTATCAGAGGTATGTTCCTAAGCCCCCCTAAGCAACAGGCTTAGAAGGGCTGTGGAATGCAAAAACTACTCTGAAAGAATGCAAACATTTTCTTGACCCTGTAATACCTGGATAATGCGATCTCTGGGCAAATGCTATGCCTTTTCCTGAGATGAAAATACTTACCGAATTTTAGATTCTGTATAAGCCAATTTTTAAAAACAAGTTCAGTGCCCCATTTTTTAAGGGAACAAACATGTTTTGTTTTGAGAGTTCTGTGTCGAAGCCCTTGAATTCAGGTGCGCTAACGTAAAAGTTCTGGTGGGAACTTTTATATTGTAATTTTAGGTTGTGAGGATAAGGTAGGAGGAGGGAACTTTCTACACTGCGCTGAGATCTCAGTCCGAGAAATAGTGACTTCTGAAAGGTCATCCAGTGAACTTTACGGACGCGTGAGGTTTTATTCCCAGCCTTAGCCCAACAGATAAGCCACACTGGATTAGTAGCTAGTTTCCCAATAACCCTGAAAATCAACGCCAATATCTGTTGCTCTCTGCTGCTAGTCCAGTACTCTTGGGAAGCCCCTCAACTGGACCGTTTGAAAAGCAGAGTGGTTACAAAAGTCGTGCCATGGTTGGGCCCCTCATCTAGAACTGCACTGCATGGCTGATGATGATCCTGAAAAACTTACAGGCAAATGTGCTTACTCCTTTAGCAATGCACTTTCTCAGGGTCGCTAAAGCAAAGGCGACCCCTGGGCAGCCATTGACATTTATATCTTTGAAACTGTTTACTTGGGGTTAAGGTTCGTCCAAGAACATGGAGCTGAGCTGCATTTGTTTTGCCCTCTTTGCCTGGTATGAGACACGATGGCATAACCCCCTCCTGATTGCACCATGGCAGCAGCTGGACTCGGAAAATTACACACAGGCACTCTGTGGCACAGGCCGTATTTAGGGGAAGGGATGGGGAGAAAGAGCAGCAAGGCATCAGGTACCAATTTTACTTCTCGTGTTGCACAACCTGGTGAAGGACAGACAGTCCCTGGCACTCTGTGAGCTTATCCTCATACTGGGTGGGTAGACAGAGAAGCTGAACAACACTAGCTAGTCCTGTTCCTATCATAATGAAGCAGAAGGACCACTGTGCTCTTGCCCTGCTTGTGGACTTCAAAGAGGCATCTGGGTTGCTGCAGTGAGAACAGAGTGCTGGGCTAAGCAAGCCCCTTGTTCTGATCTAGTGAAGTTCTGACTTTCAGGGTTCTACGGGAAAACCGAAGCATTGATGCTTTTGAATTATGGTGTTGGAGGAGACCCTTGAGAGTCCCATGGACTGCAAGAAGAGCAAACCTCTCCATTCTTAAGGAAATCAGCCCTGAGTGCTTATTGGAAGGACAGGTCGTGAAGCTGAGGCTCCAATACTTTGGCCACCTCATGAGAAGAGAAGACTCCCTGGAAAAGACCCTGATGTTGGGAAAGATGGAGGGCACAAGGAGAAGGGGATGACAGAGGACAAGATGGTTGGACAGTGTTCTTGAAGCTACCAGCATGAGTTTGACCAAACTGCGGGAGGCAGTGGAAGACAGGAGTGCCTGGCGTGCTCTGGTCCATGGGGTCACGAAGAGTCGGACACGACTAAACAACTAAACAACAACCACAACAGGAAAACCACAATTCTGCTGAAGCACAGACTGGTATTCAATTCTACTCCTTCTTAGAGTAGGGCCACTGAAGCGAACAGACATTTCAGTGGGTCTACTTTGAGTAGGGCTTAGTTGAATACAAGCCAGGGGGCCAGATTCAACTAATGGTGTTCTGCTAGTGGAAGCCAGCACAGACACACTTTTGCTAAAAAAAACCCAACAACCGTCCTCGAATAGTTAGAACGTGGTGTTGAGAACGCCAAGGTTGCAGGCCCAACCAGCAAGACTAGTGGTCACAGATGATGGGAGCTGTTGTCCACAATAGAGGCCGCCATATTGGCTGCTCTTCTTCTTAACCATGGTTTAGCATTGCATGTGACTGTGGCCACTACGTCATGTTGCCCATGGTCGCAGATAATGTTAAACCTGGATAGAGGCAGCATGGGAAAACTGGACAAGAACAGAAGGGATAATGTGAGCCTGCATCTTTCAGCTCAGTTGGTTAGAATGTGGTGCTGATAATGCCAAGGTTGCAGGTTTGATCCCCGAAGGGACAGCTGCATATTCCTGCACTGTAGGGGGTTGGACTAGATTATGATTCTTTGATTCCAAGCCATTCTGGAAGATTGGGAGAATAAATAGAATTCAGCATGGCAGTGAAACAGGTGACAATCTCCTCAGAATGGTTCTGCATTCCACCCAGAGAATTTAGCTTTCTGAAAATATCAGCGTATTCTTTTTTTTCTAAAGTGAAGCATCTAATCCTCAGACTACAAAAGTGAGCCTGGCAAAATGACTAAACCCAGAGAAGATCCCGCACGGACTAGAGGGCAGATCTGCAGACGTCTGCATGATTCCTTGCCCCTCTCCATGGGCTTGTAAAGTTATGTAGAACAATTCACGCTAATTTGCATAATTTATGCCAGACACAGAATATGGGTTATGTTGGCACCGAACGCTTTTTCATTCTCTTTAAGCACTGGGAACATCCAGCTGTAATTCTCTTCCTCCTTACACTGAACCGAACGTGCAATTTTCCTTGAACAAGGACGAAAGTTTACTAACCCTATTCAAAAACCACCCATGTCCCCTTGCTTTCTAGGCAGAAATACAAGCCTACAAGAAAGGAGCGATCACAATAAGAAAGGCGAAACGGAACCGACAGGGAACAAAGAGTTCTCGTGAACGTGCGGCTGCCCTCTCTTAATTCCTAAACCCCAAAGGGAAGGAACAGATTTTCAATTCTGGGGAAGAAAGTATTAAGGAGGGGAGGGCAAAATCCTCCAGGATTAGGGGGGGAAACATATAGGAAAAAACATCCACTTCATAGAAGCGAAGCAAGGAACACAAATTGCTCTCACACCACTGTGAGCTAATGGGTCACATGGAGCATCTGACAAGGTGCTTTATGAAACTCCACAACAAACCAGGATGCTAACTTTCCTAACCAAGTAGAGTGGCAAAGAAATGAAGCATTTGTAAAGCACTAAGTCCGTGTTGCAAACCTCACCACTGCCAATAGCTGACTTAAGGACCTAACAACACATTACGTTTACTTAAGCATATATATTCTGCCCTTCTGGTGCAAGAGCACCACTCTCAGGGCAGCTTACAACATTTTAAGCTGCAATTTTACAAAAACAGCAATATGTATAGTAGTGAGCCAAGGAGACAGGATAAGCAATTTTATACAGAAGCTTCATCAGCAAGTAATCCAAACTGGGATTCATGGTTAAAGCTCCTTCTTCACTAACCAAGAGCCATGTTTTGGTTTTTTGGGGCCAAAGGATCAAATACGTCACAACAAATAAACACACTAACCTGAGGATGCCTTAAGTCGCTGTCACTTTCATTGTCTTTGCTGCAAAAGAGAAGAAATAGTTTGGCTCAAAAGTGTATCATAACGAAAGCTAGCAACAAGCTCAGCATTTTAAACAATGGCCTGGTTCACATTTCACATTAAACTATAATTAAAAACAAACCATAGTTTAAATGTGGATGAGCAGCATGATCACTTTGCTTTTCTCCAATTCCCGTTGTGCTGTGGACAAAACTGGCCCGAGACTCATTTGATGTGTTGTCCAAGCCTGGGCTTGTGCCTTGCTGTACTCCTAAAAATCCCCACGGTTGGTAATGAAGGTTTGTTCCTGGCTTATTGCTCAAGGTTTGCTTGGGAAAAACAAACCATGAGCCTAGATTTGGATAACTAAAGAAGTTAAGACTCTAGTTTCTTTTCTGGCGACTCATGAGCAGCAAGATCAGAGAAGGAGCAGAGCAAGTACTTCACAGCGGTGTGCGCTGTGCATACTTTGTATTCACATGAAACCATAGTTTGTTTTTAACTATGGTTTTGTGCAATGTGTGAATGAGTTCAATGACCATTACCACTATCGCTACACATTTAAAAGGATGACTGAAAATATTTTGAGGTTCGGTACTTTAAAAACTAACTCATCCTCTTTAAAACTTACAAAACCAAGACATCTACTCTTTAGAGACCTGAATGGAAAATATGAATGATCAACCAGCAAGGTAATACATAATAAAGGCAAGTTCAAATCCATAAAATGCTGCAGAATTCTGCAGGCAATTTTAAAATCTCTATGTTCAAGAAAAGATGAACTACAGGGCTCTCAAAGTGGTTGTGTGCAACTAGTTTCAAAGTATAAGGAGATTCTCTAGTGTTGGGATTCACTGAAATCTTGGGCCAGAGTAATTTCCAAGTTACCTGTCTTCAGAAAACACTTCCATGTCATCTGGTCCTGTTTTGTCCACTGGTCTCAAGGAACCAAAAGTTTCCATTGCCTGTAAAACATCAAATATTAAGAAAACTGCTATGGATCATCCATTTTTAAAGTGGTAGCTGAAAGCATCTTTCATGCAATAATGAGCTTAGCATACACAACTCTTTGATATAAGTAGCAAAACACCAATTACTATGAAGGTTCTTCCATGGGAAGGTTTGGGAGATGCAATTAATGGGAAAGCAAAAGATGAAATCAGATATAAATAGCTACTTATGACTTCAAAGCCACAGTCTTCACTCACAATACTTCACCTTTCCAAACAGTCCCTTCTGCACAGGTCTCACTACAACAAACAGGCCACATTCAAACCATCACATCTCAACCTGTTAAGGTGATACACACAGAGACCTTTTGCTTCCACATGCAGCCCTTTGGCTCCTCCCATTGCTGTGAGCCTCAATTAAGCCAGGAAATCTCCTAATTAACCCCCAGTTTCCTGTTTCATTTGAACTGGGTACAAAGGCTTCTTGTTGTGTGTTGTCTTAATAAACCAAGCTGTGATCTTTCAAACTGGACTACTGTCTCCCCATGGGGGCCCCATTTCTGGGTCATTCTCACCCCACTTTTTTTTCTTCCTTGCAAGAACTAGCCACTCATTCCATACCTCTCATAAGCACCCTGACTTGGTTGTCTCTTTGATTGTATAAGTACTATTGCATCCCCCTCTTTTTCCTTCCCATGTCCCTTTCTGGGGACACCTCCAGACACCCTTTTCTGTTAATTTGTCCTCATGATGCTATCGGGGCAGTCACACATGTTCTTGCTTTCAACACTCTTTGCACCTGCAGATGTTTTGGGGTGATCACACACCGCTTGATTCCAATCCGTGCATACCCTGTAACTTGCTGCTGAAATCCCATTCTGGTTTATTTCTCCCCACAACCCACTCTTTCATTGTGCTATTCCCCCTCTGGACAGCAATAATGTGGTAGCATCAGGGAAGCATCTCATAACAAACTAAAACAGAATAAACCCAGCACTGATGCAATATTATTATGCAAAGAACATGTTGCAGAAGACACCTGCGATACAACACCAGTCTGGGAAGACCCTAGGCCTTTGCACCAGGTGAGTGAACAAGTCTTTTCTTTGAAATAATCACGAGTCACATCTGAAATATTTGCAAGCTACATGATTTCAGGGCATGGTCCAAAGGCCCATGCCTTAACTTGCTGTAGCTAAGCATTTTTGGGTCTGGTTGCTGCCTGGATGATCTGGGAACCACATGAACACCATGGCAGAAGCTACAAATGAAAGAAAATGATTTTTTTTAAGCTCTCCAATTCCAGTTTGGCAGCCCTAAAACCATTCATTGCCTTGCCTTTGCTTGCTCATTTATCCAAAGGCATAAGAAAGGCAACTGGAATTATGTATACATTTGCTTAAAAAGTAAGAAGCATTTCAAGATCCAAGCAGAACACCTTGTGCAAATCATAGCTGTGTAAGTGAGGGTTTTGGCAATGTAGCCGAAGAGAACCAGAGAAAAAAGTTTGCCATAACTCCAAAACTACAACATATCAAGCATTCAAAAATTGGTGGGCTTCCACACATTACACTGCCTATTTGTATATCCATTGATGGAAAAGTTTGGTTTCTATAGGATACAGGGCACAGCTGATGCCTGAATCTGCAGACAGAGGAGCCAGTCTTGTGTTGGCAATGTTCACACCTTGTCACTATGGACAGCCACCTTCCACTGCAAAGGTCAAAGAAGGATTTTCTAGCAAGCTGTGGCAGAGAAGCAACAAGCCGCAAAGAGCTTAATAATCCTGCCTTGTGATCACCCTCCAGCCTCTTCTCCGACGCCTGCTATTTGCCAACGTACGCCGAGGCAATCAATAATATTCTTGAATCAAATGTCACAGATACCTATATTTATCATGTTTCCAGCTCAAAAGGATCTGAAGTTATGGTGTGTGGGGTAGTCAAAACAATGGACTCATTCACATGCCAAGATAAAAAAAACCACAAACCTCCTTGTGTGTGGTATGGCCTTATGAATAGAAACTCAAGAATCTGCCTTATGCTGGACCACTTGTCCATTTAGCTATGTATCTTCTACACTGACTGACAGCAGCTCTCTAGGATTTCAGACAGGAGCCCTGCTTGGGGAGGGGCCAGGGATAAACCTGGGACTTTCTGAATGCAAAGCAGCTGCTTTAGCACTGTGGTCTTCCCCTAACATTTCAGGGGCTGGTTGGCCACACCTGGGAAACCCAGCCAGATGGGCAGGGTATTATTTATTTATTTATTTTCTTCAACCATGCACCCAAGTTGCTTCCTCAGCTGTCTGCATTCCTCCTTTCCTCTTCCTCCACCCATTACCCAGAATAGCAAGGGCTCAATAACAATTCAAAGTTTGCAGCCATTTCATAAGAAAGAGGGAAACAGCAGGAGTGACGTTAACAGCTCTGCTTACCAGAGGACTGTCCTGGTTGTCATTAAGCTCAGAAAGTTTGGTGCTGGATTTCTGTCGCTTTGGTTTACTCCTTTCTCCGATATATCCGGAGCTGGCCTCTTGCAGTTTTTCTACTTCTTGAGCAGTTAGCATACACTCTTCAATGCTGCCAAATCCAGAAGGAATATTCTCCTTATTGATCACCTCCCTGAAGAAAGACATTGCAGGGTTACCAATCTGCTTCAGATGTTCTTAGAATATGCAGGAATTATGGGAAAATTTAAAGAGCCAAGGAAGGGGAAGGAGGGAAGTCAATGAATATGTATGATTACAATGGTGGATATTTAATGATGGAAAT